AAAAAATATAATGAAGAGGGGTCACGTGAAAAAAATTGAATAGTGCCTTTAGTCCATGAAAAATCAGTTTCTCAATCCAGCGGGTCCGTAATGAAGGGGAAAAAATAATAATTGTTCAGTCCAGTAAGAAGAAAAAAAACGGAAGTGATTAAGGGAAAAAAATGGTTTGTCCTACCAATCAATATTTCACACTCTTGAAATGATGTTATAAAATTTTTCCAAGCTTCTATTTGAACTTTTTAGTGACCTGGGTTACACCCTCCCCTTCTGAATTGTCACAATAGGATCAGGACTTGAGGTTCTGGTTGAAGATTCAGAGTCATCCAAGGAGGTAGTAAAAGCAGTACTGAGGCCTGTCAACAAGGACTGGATAACTAGGCTAAGAGGATGTCCCAACTGTGAGTACTGAAGTCGTCTCGGAGGTGCTCGTGGTCTTAGAGAGCATCTTGGAACAAAACTCTCTTCCACTTGATTCTCTTGATCCGTCTGATCCTGGTGAGAATTCACTTCCATGTTTATCTCATCCTGAGTCATCATCCCTTTCCCCTGATTAGTGCTGGACAATTTCTCCGGTGCTCGCTCAGAGAACTCACTTGACGATCCTTGGATTTCTTCTCTCTGCCTTTGTTCTACAATTTCTATTACTTTTCCAGATTCATCATCAGACACAGTGGTTCCAGCCAGATCCGGTACAGTTAAGGAGTTTCCTTCAGGTGAATTTCCTGGTAAGTATCCTACAGGTTCTGCAGGAGGTTCTTCTGCAGGCACTTGATCAGGTAGGTTGGTTACAGCCCTTTCAACACTAGTTGATAGTCTAGATTCTAATCCTGAAAGAATTTTGGTATCAATGTCAACTCCTCTTTCAGTCATATAAGAAAACTCAGGATCATCCTCATAATCTGAACATTCTTCGACCGATTCTGATTCTTCTGCTTTTCCAGCATCCAGGTAAGCTCTTGTTCTGGGTCTACAATTCAGACGCTGTTTCGGCAACACTTCAGATTCATCCACGTGCAGAAATCCACACGGTAACAACAAGTCCCGATGTAAAGTGCGGATAGGAACATTCCCTCTGGCTGGACTACATACACTGGGAGGTCACCAACTTTCCAAGTGACTACATAGACATCTGGCTCCCATTTGTCCGCTAGCTTGTGCTTCCCTCTGAGTTTAACATTCCGCACGAGGACTCTATCTCCTACTTCGAGAGAAGAAACCACCACACGTTTGTCAAACCTGCACTTGTTACGATCGGCCACTCTTGCAGCGTTCTTGATGGCAATCTCATAGCTCTCCTTCAAACATTCTTTCAGATCCCTAACATATTGAGAGTGGGACTTGGTAGGTCCATTCACTGGCAGACCAAAGGCTAAGTCAACTGGCAGCCTAGGCTTTCTCCCAAACATAAGTTCATAGGGAGTGTATCCAGTTACATCATTTCGAGTGCAATTGTAAGCATGCACCAAAGGCTTCACAAACTCCTTCCAGCAAGACTTCTTGTTTTCAAGTGTACCCAACATCTGGAGAAGGGTTCTATTGAATCTCTCTACTGGATTTCCTCTCGGGTGGTAAGGAGTGGTTCTCACCTTGCGTATGCCTACAATCTGACACAGCTCCTTGATCAGGCGTGACTCGAAATCTGGCCCTTGATCGCTGTGCAATCTCTCTGGAAATCCATAATGTACTAGGAAGTTTTCCCATAGGCATCTAGCCACAGTCTGTGCCTTCTGGTTTCGGGTAGGCATAGCCACGGCATATTTGGTGAAGTGGTCCGTAATGACTAATATGTCTTTGGTGTTACTCTTATCTGGCTCTAAGGACAAGAAGTCAATACAGACCAACTCCAACGGTCTGGTAGTCTTTATATTCACCATAGCAGCAGCTTTCTCTGGGAGCTTCTTCCTACGTACACATCTCTCACATGTCTTAATTTTCTCTTGCACAGATGACGACATCTTTGGCCAAAAGAATCTGGTCCTGACAAGGTCAAGGGTCCTTTCTATGCCCATGTGCCCCATGCCATCATGTAGACTTCTCAACATGGTTCCTCTCAGAGCAGCAGGTAAGGCTAGTTGATAAAGGGTGGTTCCTTGATCTTGCCTCTTCCTGTAGAGGACTCCATCTCTCAATTCCAGCCGATTCCACTCTCTTATCCACAAGGCAATATCAGGGGACTGACTCTTTGGAAGAGGAGGCTTCACATTCAACTCCAAACAATCAATTATGATTTTAATGTCTGGATCCATCCTCTGCTGCTTCATCAGCTCTTCATTGGACAGGTAAGGAATAACAGGGAGACCATGCTCAACTTCCTGTTCAAATTCATCAAGTAGCACATCTGCATGTAGAGCCAAAGACTCAACAAGGGCAAAGGAAGGGTTCAACAATCCACAACTATTAAGGGACTCGCTAATCTGATGTCTTTCACAGATGGCTTTTATGGCTTCTGGCAGGATAACAGACTCCTCAGCAGTTGCTTTATTTAGATGATGAAGGGTAAACTGTTTTATCCTCTCCCTCTCTTTCTGGGACACCAGATCATCCAAAGGCTCTCCATGTGGACGTCGAGAAAGCCCATCAGCGTCTTGATTCTGGCTTCCAGCCCTGTACTGTATCTTGAAATTGTAGGTGGACAGACTTGACAACCAGCGATAACTGGTGGCATCCAGCTTTGCAGATGTCAGAATGTACGTTAAGGGGCTGCTATCTGTTACAACTACAAATTCCGTTCCGTACAGATAATCACTGAGTTTAGATGTAACTGCCCATTTTAAAGCTAGGAATTCTAGCTTGTGAGCTGGGTACTTGGTTTCACTTTTCGTCAATCCTCGGCTTGCAAATGCAATCACCCGCATCTGTCCTTCTTGCTTCTGGTACAAGGTTGCTCCGAGCCCGGTGGTACTGGCATCGGTATGCAAGATGTAAGGAAGCTTTGGATTCGCAAATCCTAGGACAGGAGCAGAAGTGAGTTTTCCAATAATCACATTGAAGGCTTGTTGTTGTTGACACGACTGATTCCACCTGTCCCCAAACTGCCCTTTGGGATCAAGGTACTGTTTACTCTTGTCTTGACTGTGACCTTTTCGAAGTGGTGGATACCCTGATGTGAGATCATTAAGAGGCTTGATGATCTTGGAGTAATCTTGGACAAACCTCCTATAATATCCAGAAAAACCCAGGAAGGACCTTAATTCCTTGAGGTTCCTGGGCCTTGGCCAAGTTTGAAGGGCCTCGGTTTTCACCGGATCTGTCTCCACTCCGTTCTCAGATACAATATGACCCAGGTATCGAACAGAGGTCTGGAAAAACGTACACTTTTCATTTTCATTTTAATCCATACTCCTTGAGTCGTTTCAAGACTTGCAACAGCCGTGACTCATGCTCTTCGAGACTTTCAGAGAAAACTATCAGATCGTCGGTGAAGACTAAAACTTCTTTCCTGTTCAAATCGCCCATACATCGTTCCATCAGTCTTTGAAACGTACTTGGGGTGTTGGTGATCCCCTGGGGCATCCTATTGAACTCCCAGAACCCCAGGGGACACACAAAGGCAGTCTTACACTTGTCAGCTTCCTCCATCTCTATCTGATAATAACCTGATTTTAAGTCAAGGACAGAGAACCACCTCGAACCAGTCAACACCGAAAAGACTTCCTCCAGATTCGGCAAGGCGTATGCATCCTTGATGGTTTGCAAGTTGAGATTCCTGAAATCAATACACAGATGAACAGAGTTGTCCTTCTTCCTTACAACCACTATAGGGGAAGCAAAGGGAGATTCTGACTCTCGAATGATTCCAGCAGCTAACAATTCTTGCAGATGTTTCCTTACTGCATCAATGTCTTGAGGGTAGATAGGTCGAGCCCTGTGTTTGAAAGGTGTCTTGTCGCTAAGCTTTATACCATGGGTGACTTTGTCAGTGTCTCCATAATCTAAGTCGTGCAAGGCAAAGACTTCGGGCATGGAATTCAACTGATCTGTTATCCGTTTTTTCCATTCAGGTGACAAGGGGGAATCTTCTAAATCGAAACTGAGATTGGAAGGAACAGGGGCGTTTGCATTCACAGCACTGGAATTACTTTGTTCATTCTTCATTATACTCTGGACTGCATGCATTTCAGCAATTATAATTTTGGGCTGGATGGTGATATCAGTCTGAGTTTCATTCCTTAGCACAACTGGTAACTGATAATGCCTCTTGGAAGGTAAAGTATGCAAACAGCTTGCAACTAGCAAACCACCAGGTAAGGAGGGCGAGGCTGGTGACTCTAAAGCTACCAATTTCTCTACATGAGGGCTGTCCACCAGAACATGTCCATTCAGGACCACTGTACTCCCGGCGGGTACTACCTCTGGAATGCTCCCCTTGAATTTCACCCAGCCTACAATTTCAGCACATGTTTGTTTGTGTCTTGCTTCCAGAACTTTCAGCACTGCGCGGTAACCATGAGAGCTGGACTGGGGGTTTGCTGCAGGCTTCTGGACATAGTCACGGTAAAGGGCATCCAATGAGTTAGTGCCAATCAGAACTTGAGGCGTGTTCATCAAATCTGGAACAACTAAAGCTAGGGTAGGTACCTCTGCTTCTATTCCAAGAAACTCTCTGGGAAACCTTAAGATCAGTTCCACATATCCGAGGTAAGGAACTGCTTGTCCATTCGCCCCTTCCACTTTCAGCAAGTTATTCAGTGACTTCAGAGGACAATCTGACAAATGGTGTTCATAGAATGACCAGGGAATTGTGGTGACTTGGGATCCCGTGTCCAAAAGACAGGAAACTTATTTTCCACCAACAGCAATTTGGGCAGTACACTTTATTCCTACTAACCCTCTTGGTAAGTTACATGAAGGTGACTTGCTACAAGCATGTTGGTTGAACGAGTGTCTAGGCTTCTTTGGGCAGTTCTTTCCTTGTCCGGTCTCTGTATGCCCCTCTACAGAGACCATTCTCAGTTTAAAGATTTCATAGCTGCTGTGTGTTGCGAATCCCACTGGGCTTGTCACTCTCTTAGCTTGTGTCGTTTTTCTGCAACTTTAGTGGGATCAGGAGCATTACCACAACTGCTGGCAAGATGACCATCTTCTCCACATCTGAAACAATACCCCGGATGGGGTCTGCTGTCAGGCATTTGACCATTTCTGGACCACTCTGTTGTACCTGATTCAGGTCGCTTGTAATTGGGAGAGTCTGTGGACTGAGGAAACTTCTCAGGACGGTTTCTGTGCATCTCAGGAGCAGAAATTTGGACTCTCAAGTCAGCAATCTGCCTCTTCAATTCAATGATTTCAGTTACTTCCACATCATTCTTCTTTTTTGAAGTAGCTGCAGTTTTCATAGCTGTGACCTGGGCCTGTAATTCAGTGACAGCCATCTTCAGTGCACTCACTTCATCTGATTTCACATTAATGGCTTTGTCCTTCTGGCCAGAATGCTTTTGCAGGGAATTAACTTGAGCTTGGAGATCACAGACTTGCTTTAAGAGAGTTGCTTCAGTGTGGTCAACATCAAGTGCATCGCATGAGTGTGCAGATATCTGGTGGGTTGACATTCTGAATTTTGAAGGAGCAGGGCAGTGCTTGTTTAACCCTAAGCGCTTCCTCATTCGTTCTTCTTTGGAGGCATTTTTGTCTTCCTCTGTGCGAATGAGCACTACTAATTCTGCGAATGAATGTGGGTTGGATTTCCTCTTTTCCAGCTGAAGGTCAGCGATGAGGCCGTTGTCCCAACAGCCGTGACAAAACTGCTTCAGAAGACAACAGTCTCTTTCACTTTCAGATATGCCACCTCGCCGAATTGTTGTGCTCAAGAGAACTTGCAATCTATGCAAATAAGTTGAAGGCTTCTCGCCATGGTTTTGAAGAGTGCTCATAAACTTGGCTAGCAACTCGTCTCCATCTTCAACAGAGCCATATACGAACTCCAGCAGCTCCAGATACTCAGTAGGTAGGCTTTTGGGAGAGACATGTTTGACGATATCTGCAGCTGGGGGAAGCAGACTGTCAAGAATTTTTCTTGTTCGATGCAGATCAGAAATAGAAGGATCTGTCATAAGAAGGTCGACACTCGCACGCCAAGTATCGAAATCTGGCTCATTTCCAGGGCGAGGGATTTTACCAGAAAAGGGACGAATGCGAATTAAGGCTTGTTGCGATGACGCAGCTTCATTTGCCTTCACAATGTGCTCTACCACTACTCGTTGCACCGTGGGTGTGTCTAGGATGCTTGCTGAAGTGGCTGGAGACACCATAGTAACAGGTATGGCCCCACTGGCTTGCGACCACAAGGGTGTAGCACTAGCTGTGTCCTCCTTAACCGGGCTTTTTAACTCTGGGTTCTCATCACTCAACAGAGGGGGATTACTGTCCCCGGAATCAGGAGACTATCACCAAGATTGCTATAACTCACTCCCTGTGGCTTGATCGGTTCTTTAGCAGAGGCACTAACCTGGTGAATCTTTGCCAATTCATCCTGAAGCACATCTTGAAATGACTTCCCGGTTGCACTGGCAATTGCTTGAAGTTCCTCGAGGTACCCCTTGGTAACTTCACTGCTGTCAGCCTGGGGGCATATGCTGTCTAAGGGGTGTATATGAAAAGTAACACTCAGGTCAGTAGGGCAAACAAATGTCAAGGGAAGTAAGGGCCCTAAATTGCGCATGGCAGTACTATGGGCAAATTCCACTATGGCGTTATGGTGGAATTTTGAGGTAGGGTCATCTATCAGTAAGTTTCGTTTTATAGAACCGTATCGAAGCAAATATGCTTCTACATGCTGGTCCGCTTCGGCTAATGTAAGGCCGCTAATGAAGACAGCATTTGAAACGTTCACGTTCTCTTGTCTCACGATATTCATTTCGGCTATTCCACTCAGGTAAAATAAAACTTTCCCTTTTTCCTCTTGCACTTAAATATTTTACTTGTGGTTTAAAAATGTGTATATCTATGTTTTTTTCCTCCTGGCTGCAGGCTCGCCACTTTTTTGTAACCAATGTCACCGGTTCTAATTCTGCAACACACACTTATAAAATGTCAGATTTAAGACACAATTTAAATTAATTTTGGACCAGTCACAGAAGACTAAGCGCGACTCTCTGGAGAAAAAAATACACAACAAAAGCAAGAAGGGAATAACCACTCAAAGGTAAGTATTTACCATAGAAACTATGTATTTTTGTACCACTTTTAGATTTTTTTCTTAGTAACTCTTCAAATGAAACGGGGGAAAAAAACACAAACACCACATAAACAACAGTATGTGTCTCGTTCAATTGGAATATCAAATGAGAAATAAAGACAATGTCTCAGTTCAAACTCAAGGAAAAGAAAAAAATAATGAAGAGGGGTCACGTGAAAAAAATTGAATAGTGCCTTTAGTCCATGAAAAATCAGTTTCTCAATCCAGCGGGTCCGTAATGAAGGGGAAAAAAATAATAATTGTTCAGTCCAGTAAGAAGAAAAAAACCGGAAGTGATTAAGGGAAAAAAATGGTTTGTCCTACCAATCAATATTTCACACTCTTGAAATAATGTCACCAGGTACGGATCAGATGGGAATGGCTCGCCAGTCCAAGCAACGTGCACACAGCAACAGGCAAGGACAATTCTTCAAGGACAATCTCAACCACTGGAGCTCGGGATCGACAGCAGAAGAAACACTCACACACATATGCACAGAAAGAAAAGGGAAGAGAGAAGGGAAAAAAAAAACCCCGGCCAAGGAGAAAATAATCCATACAAAGAAAAGGGAAAAAAAATGAAGCGATTCTATTAAACACGTTGATTCCGCTTCTCTTTGCGCAAATCTTCCTTTTCTTCTACTTAAAAGTATCAACACTAAAATCTTGTGTTCAATACAATCCAATTTCAAAAGTTTCACACTCAATTTATATGTTTATCTCTTATTATCTGAGCTCTGTAAAGCAAACGCACTCGTTTGATTTCTCTCACATCTTCTCTCTAACGATCTCTAGGGGCGGGACTAACCTCTAGCTTCATCCAATCAGCGATCTCAGATTACTCTGACTAGTTTCAATTTGGATAAAATAAAAT